TTATATGTCTGTCTTTTCTTGCCTTATTCCCTCAGTTTAGTGAAGAACATAATCTAGGCTCTTACTGAGAGTAAGTTGTGGAAAAGTTTCTAGGAAATACATGGGGAAACCTGATGGAAGATGAGGGTTATTTTAGTAAGGTTTGTTTGTGTAAACTCATCTGCTCATCAGCTCCCTATTTCTGGTGACATGGACATTCTTTTCTAGCACCAGGGGTGGGTACCTGTTTCATGGGGAATTTATTTCTTGCTTCTAGACAGAAAGGGCGAAGGCAGTCCTTGCCACAACTGCTGTTTCTCAGTTGCTTTCAGCTCAAAATAACCAGTGTGCCAGAGTGACATATTTTGCAGGAGCATGTTATAATCCCCTTCAACTGTCTATCTGTTGTTGTTTTAAGAGTAGGGAACTAAAATGTTGATTGGTAGTTGTGCAAGTGGCTGAGACTTGTTGATAGTGAGTCTCATCATAGGATGATATTAGTGGAACGCTCCATTAGGGGAATTCACATGGTCAGCGGGTCTTTCTTGAGCTGGTCGGGTTTTCTTAGAGAAGGCCTCCATACTCCAGCGGCCCTTTCTTGGGAGCTGAATGGCTAAAAGATGGGGGGATTGGAGAGACAGATCTTAAGCACGAGTTTACTTAGTCCTCATGTTGTCAGGATGATTCTCATTTTTTGTTTAACTTCATTCTGATTTTACTTCAGGCTTATATTGACTTATTTTATTTTAATCCCTTTAACTTAGTGGTTCTCAGATAGACAGGAGTAGAGACAGGTTGTTGGAATTGCCTTTTGGGTTGACACAGACTGTTGGCTAGGGATACTAAAAATTTTGCAATGTGATGACTGTAGGAGTAAGAATTGCTTCATCCAAAATGTCCATAGCTCCCCTTTTTGGAAACTGTACAGGTCTAACTTAAGGCAAATTTCAGTATCAGTTAAAGCTAATTGCCAGTTTTTATTTCTTACTTTACTGTTCTTCCTTAATTCATGTTCAGATGATTCTAGTTTTAATAGTATTTGAAACTGGAATTCCAAAGATTTCTTTTAAGAAGAGTAGTTAGAAGGTCACTGAAGAAATCCAGGTAAGAGTTACTGGTGGCTTGGACTAGAGTGGTAGTTTTAACAGAGAGAAACAGGTTGCAAGATGTGTTTTACAGGAAGAGTTTATAGGACTTAGAGATGGATTAAATATGAAGGATTAAGGAAAAGGAATAATCAGAGGTGGTCTGAAGTTTTCTCTTGAGATAATTAAGTGAATGAATCGTTTGTCAAGATGGAGAAGATTAGGGAAAAGAGCCAAGCCTACAGGAAGCATATTAAATTTAAGATATCTGTATCTGGGCCCAAAGATAATGTTGAATTTTCTTAAATATCCATGGCCTCTTTAGACCTGAGTATTAATCAGCTGTCATTCAGAAAACATGTACCTTTAGCTGTATCCCTCTTTACCCTTCCTGTTGCTGCCACCCACCAGCCTTATTTGTTGAGGGCTTTGGGACGAGGCCTACTGCCTCTGCTCCCTGGCATAATCACATACAACGTTGGGAACAGCATGGGCAGTTTATTCAAGTTCCTGTCCTCAGGGCTCTTGGCCTGTCAGCAGTGACAGTGTGCTACAGTGGTTTTAAATCCTCGTTCCGTGCTTCCCAACCATGTAATTGGAACACAGTGCTTAACCTTTTATGTCTTGTTTTCCTCATTTGTAAATTGGGGATAATATTATATGTATATTTGTGGTTTTGTGAAGATTAAGATAACAGTGATTACTAATTACTAATGCTGGCATATAGTAAGCATACCATAAATGTCAGCTATTAAGATTATTATTGTTTACTTAAATATCCACTTAATAATGTATACTACTATTATTATAGTTAAGCAACAGCTTGAGGCTTGCCCCCCAACTCTTAAATTTTAAGTGCTAAAAATTGTATACATACCAAGATTTTTTTAGTGGTTCAGTATACTTCATTTAAAAAGAATAAAATAAAACTTAACAGTGCTTTATTCAGTGGTTCTTAGTTAGAAGTATCCATCAAATTTGCCCCGGGGCTGCCTTCTGGAAGTTTGAAGAGAGTGCTGTGTGGTGGGAGGGTCAGGCACCTCAGGTGTCTGTTGTGTAATTGCCTCCCTCCTCCCCTTTCCTCCTAATCACCTCTTGCTGAGCTTTTCCTCCCCAGGCTGCCTGCTAAGCCCTTCCTGGCCCTCTCTTCCACCCTCACTCTCCTCCATTAGCTCTGGAAATCCCTAACCTTGGGGAAATACAGTCCAGTCCGCCTCTGATCTGGGCTGCTGAGAGCTGTAGTTTTTTTTTAGCAAGGTGAGGTTAATTCATGGAGTATTTTGGCTCTTATGGCTTCACTGTTCACATCAGAAGGCTGACCCTACATGATACAGAAGACATCGCTCTTTTAGTCAGTAAGAGTTCCAAAAGGAACTTTGCCATCCTGTAATTCTTTTACACAAGATCTTATTCACTTTTACAATGTGTTTGAGTGGTATTAATGATGTTAATAATGTTTTATAAATGAGAAAGTTACAGCATAAAATGATAAAATAGCTGGCCGGTATAATTTTTGTAGAGCCCTACAAAAGAAAGTTGTGGGTTTATATGAAGCAAATTTTCTTCACATACTATGTTGTAGGTCAACATAATGGTTTTAGCAGCAGAGTTTTAAGGAGTTTTTCATGGGTTATTGTTTTTGTTTTCTTTCTGGGATGTGATCATTTTTAATCTATAACTTTTGGATACGTATGTTAGAGTGTGTGTGTGTGTGTGTGTGTGTGTGTAATAGGTGAATAATCTTTATCTTTGTTGTTTAATAAGAATTTTGAAATCATTACAGCTGGAAGACTTTCAGTATGGATTCAGGTGTCCTTTCATTCCTTTAGAAGGAGTGAACCTGACCCAGTTCTTTTCTGAGAATTCATCTCAAAGAACAGTGTGTTAGAATATTTTTGTTCTTCTAATCAAGTGGAATTTAAGAACTGGCAAGCGTCCACAGCTTCTGTTCTTTAATGTGAGAGCAATCCTGTCCTTTGGTTAAGATTTAGCTTTATAAACTGTTTCTGCTCTGTGATGCCCCTCTGCTCTGCCACCCAGCCTTGGAGCCAGCTGTTTATGGACTGAAACCTACAAACTGTGAGCTAAATAAACCTTCCCTCCTCTAACTTTGGGTGTTGGGTATTTGTCTCAGCAATGAGGAAAGTAACTAAAACACAGTCCTTCAATAGAGATAGAAAAACACACACACTGCTCTTCATTAATTTTTTTTCTTTCTGTACTGGGGATTGAACACAGGGATTTTGTATTGAGCTACACCGCCAACCCATTTTTTATTTTTTTAAAAATGGTTTCTCTAAGTCACTTAGTTACCCAGGCTGAGCTCAAACTTTGCAACCTCCTGCATGCACTTCCAGAGTGCTGGAGCCAAACTTTGCTGTGACAAAGTACCCGAGACAAACAATTTGTAAGGAGGAGAGGCTCATTTTGGCTCATACTTTCAGAGGTTTCAGTCCATGGTCGCTGGGCTCTGTAGCTTTGGGTCTGTGGTGGGAGCACTTGGTGGAGCAAAACTACTCCTCATGGCAGGTGGGAAGCAGAGAGAGGAAGGGCTAATAGCCTCTGAAGGGGGGGACCCCAATGACCTGCCCTCCTGCCACAAGGCCCTGTCTCTTAGAGGGCCCAGCACCTTGCATGAGTACCACAGGCTGGTGACTATGTCTTTAGGATATGGACCTTTGGGAGTCCTTTAAGATTCAAGCCACAATAGTAGCACATAAATTTTACTCATTCTTTAAAAACATTAGCTGTATTAAATACACTGTGATTTGCCTTACTTTAGTTGGTCCAAAGATACAGTAGAAAAATAAAACTCAAGCTCAGTTTCTCCTGCTGTGTTCACATAGCACTGATCATTTCTGACGCTAGATGAAGGGCCATTTTCCCCCAAACCATGCAAGCAGTCAGTTCTGCTGCGGATGCCAGCCAGACGCCCTCTAATCCAGCTTGCTGACACCATCGACCTGGAGATTGCATCAGATCCCATGGGTGGAGGGATTAGACACCAAACTCAGGTGATTTCATCTGTGCTTTTGGCCTACTGACTATAAAATCTGCTCCCCACGCTCATGCCTTGGGTTCTTTTAATTTGCTGAAGCATCTCACAGGACTCAGGAAAACGCATTTCACTACTATACAGATTGGCGCAAAGAATTCCAGTGAAGAGGCTCGTGGGGCAAGATATAAGGCAAGAGTATGGGGCATGCATGCCTGCTCAGAGGCCACCCTTCACCCTCCCTTCAGCTCCTGGAACCCATGCTGTTTCTCTGGAACTTCACTGTGTATCAAATGCTAATGATGGCCCAGGAAAGCCCTCTCTTTGGCATTTCTTCCTCCTCGGTGTAAGTCAGGACCCCTTCTGAAATGGGAGTCTCACCCTCTACTGTCAGATACTAGGTCAGAAAAAGGCAGGGAAGATTAGAAGGATGATGAATTCTAGTTTCTGTAGCCTACCATGGAGAGGAAAGTTATGATCCAACAGCCTTAGACAAAACCCCAAAATGTACCTTAGAGTTGATAGTGTGGTTTTATGGGAATTAATGTGTAGAGAGAACTGTCATTCTTTTTATGGATTTATTCTCTACTGTTACAATTTTTATGTCCCATTTTTCCTGTTAGTGAACATTTAAATTGTAATAAATATCTTTTATTCCTATGTCTTTGCCTGTTTGGCCAGTCCTGTTTGGATTCTGTAGGATAAATTCTAGGAAATAGAACTTCTAGATCAAAGGATGACCATTTTACATTTTAATGGTAATTTGGGGCTCTATAAAGTATGTCAACATTCTGGTTTTTATAGGGAGTAGTCTTTGAGTTCGAAACCTTCAGGAGTTTAGTTAGGTGACATACACTAATATAGTCACTGTTTCTTAATAGAACTTTTCTGGCCCTGTAAAAGTCTTTAAAATGATACTTTGGAACTTTTTTCTCTTACAGTGGTGGAATGGGGGGAAGATGTTAAATCAGTTTCGAAAGATGAAGCCGTGATGTTGGTGAACCATCAGTCCACGGGAGATGTGTGCACGCTGATGATGTGCCTGCAGGACAAGGGATTGGTAAGGCCACCGCGGGCCCTCATGGACACTGAGAAGGGAGGGTCAGGGTTGGACTCAGTAGGCATACCTCTCCTGAACATCTAGAAAATACTACACAAAAAAATGTATACTTTGGATTTAGAGACTTAAAAAGTAAGTAACCAGCATTGTAAATTCCATCTCATTAAACTTTTTAAAAATAACAACTGGAATGAAAGCAAAGTTAATACAGTTCAAATTAAAGGCTATTTCGAGGTGAAGTGGTAGGCTACCTGTTTGAGACGTATAAACATATGAACAAAAGTATTGTTGAAGATAGGAGACTGAAATTAATCAGTAAGTTAGGCAGTTTTGCAAATCTTTAGCCAGAAGAAAACAAGGTCTGTGTTACTTTGGATTTCATTTGCAAAGTCAGTTGAAAGAAAAGATACTAGACTTGTTTTATCCAGTGGTAGTAAAACTATGTCTGAACAGTTGATCTTACATTGTTTACATCAAAAATTCAAATGTATCACCACATAAGGTAGATTTAAAAAATAAATTTGGTCTTTAGCACCTGTCTCAGGTGACAGATAAGCTGACCCTGGAGAGCCAGAGTGGTGGGGACAAGGCCAGGTTTTGTGTTGCTCCTGGGAACGCTGTGAATTTCTCCTATAGCAGAAGCCATTGAACTTTTTCACCTGTATCAATGGCGCACAGTCTTTTTGTATGAAAAGCAGGAGACCTCTGAATAGTAATTCATTTAATTGCAAGACATTTTGAAATGTAAAAAGTGCAAAAAAATCTGTTTTTATCATTAAAAACTTACTGCCTTAGAAGTTAATAAAGCTTCTTCCTAGAAAACTAAATGAGAAGTGTTTAAAATTAATGGAGTTAATATTTGTCCCAGTTGTAAGTAAACAAATCAGTAGACGTTCACTAAGTGTTTAATCATCCGGGTCAGTGATGGAAGGAAGTATGGATGCTGCCCTTTTCAGGGGTTCTGAGCACTAGGGGGGAGGTGTTACAAGCAGCCCCTACCTGCACACGGGAGAGGGAGGAGGAGTGAACTTCATTGGAGGGTACCATGAGCTCATGATGTACCTGACAGACATAGAAAACTTGGCAGAGGGGAAGAACATAAACTTGGCCTTAAAGTATAATTAGAATTTAGCTAGGTTGAAGGTGAGACAGGGGCCTTCTTCCTCAGTGAAACTACCTCGGCAAAATCACAGAGGTGCCAGTAAGCCTGTTTTATTTATTAGGTCCCAGAGATTTCGACTCACTAGGTCAGAGTAGTGTCAGAAAATGAAGTGAGATTAAAGGAAACGAAGGGGACTGGGAAGGTGGCTCAGTGATAGGAGGTCTTGCCTAGCATCTGAAAGGCTATGGGTTCCATCCCCAGCACCACAAAAATGAGTAAGTAAATAAATAAGTAATATATTTGGTTATTGTGTAATCTTTCCAGAATGTAAAATAAATTTAATACTTTCTTACATTCAGAATCTTGTTAGAGTACTGCTGTGTAAATGTATTGCATTACGATAATACTGCATGTTCTTTAAATTCATGATGTTAAAATTTTGTAAAAACCAGTTTATTTGATTTATTGTAAAAATAGTTCTCAATTAGCTAACATTTTTATTCTCATAGATATGATAATTGCACTTATAGTAATTATTCTGAGGGTGTATACAGTGTCCTTGAATGGATTCAGTTGATTCACTGAACTTGGTTGATTTGGTGTGTACTGATCATTTTTTTCAGGAATATAAAACATAAGATAAATTCCTGTTTTCAAACTGTGCTGGTATCCTTTTAATAAGTATCTACCAAGTAAGGAGTCTTGTCCTTTTATGGGAGCTCATGATAAACTAAGAATTTCTATTTCTTTCAAGATAATTTTATTAAATGTTTAATAAACATTTATTGATTTATAACATTTCCCCTAAAATAAGGACAGAATTATTCATACAAATCTCAGAATAGAGCTTGGCTTCCTTCCTGAATTTGTTTTAGGTGACCCTTCTAACTGAAGAGATAAATCTGCTATAATAGAAGATTAAACATAAAAGTGACTTACTTTGGTGTGGGTATTTTAAACCCAGTGACCAATAAATTGCAGCTATACTTCATACTGTATATAAAGTTGAAATGTTTTTATAGGTCGAATCTATGTTTTTGTTCGTTGGTCACTTTTCAACAAGTTCGGTTTAGCTTGTATCTTGATGTATTTAAACAAAATTGTCATCAATGCAAAACAAAAAGGAAGGAGGGTATGCTGGTCATTACTGTGTATTAATTTACATGGAGACTCAGTTCTTCACTGGGCACAGATCTTTCCTTCTCATTTCTTTTATTTTAAAAAATGATTTATTTTAATTCCTAATGGAGTTGTTTCACTGAAAACTTCAGGCAGAAGCTGTAGTGTTACGTACAGATGGCTTTTATAATGCTTTGGTAAAAGCAGCCCATGAGTGTCATTGCTGAGTTTTTCACATAACTTGCTTGGAGGGAGTTGTTATGTTACAATTCTCACAGGACACCAAAGCAGAGCTTGCTGCATTCTACACTGAGGTCGTAGCTTTTGTTTTATTTAAGGCTTATAACAAGGAATGCTATGTCCTTAGCAGGAAAAGAATAATTAACCAGTTCATTAATTAGATGCTATTTACACTTTTCATTTTTAAATTTACTTGAAATGAAATCATCTTCTTTCAGTATGGGAATTATCTCTTGTCAGCAATGGATAATATTTTTATGATTAACAACTGAGGGATTCTAAATATTTTTATACTGGCAGAATATGACCTTGCATAAACAAATGAGTGCTTTTCATAACACAATGGAATGCATAAATCATTCTATTAAATTATTTTTAAAATGTTATTTTGGACATTAATTTTTTATACTTTAGACAATAATGTATGCTCACATTTTGTAAAGCTTTAATGCTTACTAATTACATGTGTAGTTCTAATTTGTTAACTTTAACCATTTTATTGCATTGATTCAAAATAAATTTACAAGTTATGTAAGAATTGCCAGAGACCATGTTTAAGGTAGAACAGATTTGAAATCATTAAATCCAAATTTAAGAAGTTAATTCAGCTTCATTTGTTACACAATGATATGTATTTGTGTGTATATTTTTATCGTATGTGTATATAGACACATCATATATCATATATATGATATTATATATATATGTATAAAATATATATAATGAATGAGACTTAGGGTTCCAACACTTGAAATTAAGTCCTGTATGCTATTAGTAACCATACTGTAAATGTAGAAACAGTATTAGATTTAATATATTTAGGGTAGTTAAGAACATACCTGGTTAATTATATTCCAAACTTAGGAGACTTGACTAGACTGTAGTTAGATGGCATAGTTTATGTAGTTAGATTACTTACCTCTTGCTTTTAAATGTTGTAGGTTGTTGCTCAAATGATGTGGTTGATGGATCATATTTTTAAGTATACAAACTTTGGAATTGTTTCTCTAATTCATGGAGACTTCTTTATAAGGCAGGTAAGTGATGAGCATTCTTTTTCACAGTAATAACCTTGTCAAACCAACCCTTCAGTGGGGCATAACAAAACCAGCTGTAGTAAACGAAGCCAGTTCCAGAGTGCGGAGGCGCTCCTCTTCTTTAGTCTTCACTCCCTAAACATTTATTGCAGTCTGAATTTGAGTATACCTCAGCAGAAAGGTGCTTATTCTAATCTCTACTCTCATCTGGAGGTGCAGTTCAGTTTAGTAAACATTGAGCTTGCATCTGCCACATTCCTTTGTTCGTCAGCTTCTTAGCTATGTGAATTGGACAAATTATGGGCATGCTCAAAATTCTCCATCTTTCAAATGAAAGTGATAGTAATCCCTCAGACAGCTGCAAGGATCGAGAGTATACACGAAGCACTCAGAGCAGTTGCTGCGACCTTCACCATCACTAGCTCTGTTACCACTAGTAGTTTTACTTTTTTGGTTCTGTTATATGGTACAGAAAATACCTCAGTTACCTGTAGGGAGATTAACTAATTAATTAATATTAGGAATTTTGGGAATTCACAGTAGGAAAAGAGTAAGTCTGACTTCTGTGAAACGAGAAAAACCTTACTAGAGAGGACAATATTTTGACCTAAAATTTAGGTATGGATTTGATGGATGAAGGTGCATTGGGAAGGGTCCAAAGCATAAGGCATACTTTAGTGTAGGAAGAAGAATTATAGTCAGCCTAGTATACTAACAGTATCACATACTTCATTTTCCCCTAAATGGAAACCCAAAATGCAGTGTAGAAGAATTTTTATGTACGGTGATGTCACATTTACTTGGCGTTTGTATGTGAGCAATTTTAACCTGGATTATGTAGTGCTTTGCACATAAGTACTTCGTGAATAGCTGGCAAATCAAATGAAGCTTCTTTTAAGCAGCACAAATTTAGAAATAAGCTAGAAATGATTAGAAAACTTCTAAGCTGTGTGAAATTAGGTATCACAGGCACATCTACTTTGCTCCACACAGCTTTATGTACATGCTTTTGTTTGCATGCTGTGATTCTTTGATTTCTTCTGAAAACATTCTTGCTGATGTGTCCCAGGCAGAGAGATAAATAGAAGTATGGGCTGGGGCCTCAGGAAGAAATGGGGATAGGGATTGGCCATGAGGTCAAGACAAAGTGGAGCATGAGCAGAACAACTTAATGAAGACCAGAGCCCAGTGCCTCAAAGAAAGCTACTGAACCAACAGAAAGCTTAGCAGCCAAGAGGGGTCCAGAGGAAAAACTAGCCAAGCCCCTGCTTGCAGCATGAGGTTTGGTTTCTAATGCATAGAACAGTTGATGCTAATGACAATCCTCACATATCGAGACAAAGCCAGTGTACTTTGTGGGAGGTAGCAGTGAAAACCTATGTATTCTAATATATTTTCCTTGTTATTGTGATGTAAATTTGCATACATAAACACTTGTTTTTCAAGGTACCTGAGCGATTTGCATATTCATTTCTCAAGAGCAACATTTTCCCTCAGATAAAAATCTATAACCATAAGAATCTATAACATGAGGCGAGGTGAGGCTGGAATAGATAAGTATTAATGTCTTTTAAAAAGATCTCCTGGGACTTTGCTGTAGACCATGTTGTGAAAAGATCTTCCAAGAATAGTAAAAACATTTTGCCTATAGCCTTGGAAACGTAAAAGCTGTCTTAAACAGTTAAATTCAGTGAACTAGCTAAAAAAGTCTTCCTTGTTTCGCATTTGGGTTACATTTAGTCTGAAGAATGAAAGCATACTAATTATTTTGAGGAGCTTCTATAATTGTGTTGGTTGGCAATTATTAAGAAATCAAGCCTTTGAGAGGAAGAACTTCGATGGTATTTGGTTGTAGGTTTTGGGTTTTCCTGCAGACTTTTCTGGGTCCTGATTTTCAGTCTTCACGCCAGCCTATTCCTCTCTTCCCTCACAGCTCCGATCCAGCCCACCGCAGTGCGTTACTTTAGCTTTCACATCTTTGCCTGACTGCACCCACATCTCCTGAGGACCCTGTAGCTGAATCTCATCCAGCTCCCTTGTGTGGGCCATTGCAGTTGCCCTTATCTTCTCTAATCTTCCTGTCATAGGAGCCAGCGGATTTTTCAAATGTGAATATTATGACACTTTCTTGTTGAAAACTATCCAGTAATTTCTTGTCCAAAACTATTTACCCAAGCACAAAGTCCTTTTGATGTAGTCTCCGCCTGCTCTGCTCTGCCCTGTCCAATCACTGACCCTTGCCATGCTGGCCTTGTGCTATTGTTTGAACGTGCCAGTCTTGTTCCCACCTCAGCCTTTGCCCTTTTGCTCCTGTCACTTGGAATCTCCTGGCCCTCATCTTCATCTGGCTTTTCCCTCACAGATGTCACCGTGTCTGAGCAGTTTAGGGGATTGCACCCAGGGCCTTCACATTGAACTACATCCCTGGCTCTTTTCATATTTGCATTTTGAAACAGGATCTTGCCAGGTTACCCAGACTGGGCTGGAACTTGCAGTCCTCCTGCCTCAGCCTACCAGAGTGCTGGGATTACAGGCATGTGCTGGGACACCCAACTTCCCTGACCTTAACCATTTTTGTCCTTGTACTCTTTTCTGCCTTTCACATAGCATCAGTTGGGTCTGCCCTCCATATTTACCACTTCCCACAGTAGGATAGCAGCTCTCTGAGGACCTCCTGTTACTCTGCTGTCTCTGGTATAGTGCTTGCTAATTAGAGTCACTTGGTGTGTAGTCATTGAATTGAAATGTCTGTAGCTTCAGGGCAATCACAGCAAATTGTGTCCTTCAGAAAAAAAGTTTGTCCAAGTGCTAATCACATCTGTTTTTTTTTTTTTTTTTTTTTACCATTGAGTTCAAAAAATGAAATTAGTGGGGGAAACTTACTTCTATGATCAGATTTTAATTTAGTTAAATTTCACACATATTCGAAATTTACTATACTTGGGTTGGGTTGGGTTGGGTGGGTTGGATTTTTTTGAGACAGGGTCTCACTTTTCAGTACAGGCTGGCCTTGAATTCACTGGGTAGTTCAGATTGGCCTCTAGCTCTCAGTGATCTTTCTACCTTGGCCTCCCTAGTGTGGGATTACAGGCATGCACCACCACACCCAGCTATTACTTGTCATCTTACTGCTGTATTTTTATTTCCTGTATATCTGTCCTGATTATTCATCTGCCTTCTAGGGAAAATCTCATCGTGACCAACAGCTAGTGCTTCTCAAGAAGCACCTAGAAAATAATTACAGAAGCAGAGATCGAAAATGGATTGTTTTGTTTCCGGAAGGGGGCTTCCTCAGGAAGCGGAGAGAAACAAGTCAGGCATTTGCCAAGAAAAACAACTTGCCATTTCTTAAACATGTTACCTTGCCAAGGGTTGGGGCAACACAAATTATTTTGAGTGCACTTGTAGCACGACAGGAAAATGGAAGTCCAGCAGGAGGAGATGCTAAAGAACTAGGTATGGTGGTTTTCAGCATTTATTTGTTCTAATTGAAAGGTATATTGTTCTTTTTTTTATAGTTTTGTCAGAACTGACATTCAGTGAGAAGATGGAACTAAAATTTTTAATTTATCATTTATCAAATGTAGAAAGTTTTTGTTTGCTTTTAACTCAGAAAATAAATTTAATATAGTTTGGATGTATTTACCAAGACTCTTAACTTGTTAATAAATGTTCTTGTTATTCCTTTACACGCACTTGTCATAAGGAAATAATCTGTAGTATGGGCAAAGGAATTTATTGCAGCATTATTTATAATAGCAAAAAGTAAGAAGTAGCCAGAAGAGAGAATGGATAAATAATTATCAAATATGCAAACAACAGACTCTAGCACTATTGCAGGTGGTATTTCTGGAGGGTTTATATTGGCGTGGCAAAGTGCTTATGCTATAATGGTCGTAGGACGGGGTCCAACAACTTCGGTAAAAACTGTATGAGCTCACATCTGTATAAGGAAGTAGCAGGAAATGAGAGGGGGAGGTACCAAAGTGTGAGCAGTGACAATTCCTCTGAGTTGTAACAAGAGTGATTGTCTCCATTTCTTAACATTTTCCTGAATTTTCCAGTTCTTCAAATAATGAGTATGTATTACCTTTATAACCAGGAAAAAGTAAACCACACTCAAAGGTACAAATTTCCTGGACATGGCCTAGTGAGAAGACAAAAGAATTTCACTTGACTTGTTTCTGTAGTTGCATTTCGCTATTATAATATTTTTAAATTAAGAAAAATTGAAAGGAGTGGCTCTCCAAAGTCTATTTTAAACAGCGGTAAAGATCTGATGGGAAGATGATGCCCGCAAGCTGCACTGTGTCTTCCTTTCAGTGTTTTCTTCAAGCAGCTGCTTGGCAGTTAGCTCTCGTAATCTTTCATCATCTGTTAAAAAGACAAATTCAGTCTTTTAATAGAAAAGGAAAGTTGAGAATAGCTCCAGTGCTAAAAGGACACCATAGCAGTGTCAGCCGAGCAGGCCTAGAGAGCCCAGGCTTGGGAGGGTGCTCCAGGCCGCAGAGGAAGGTGCTGCATGCCTGCTGCCTGAGGGCCTCGCAAGTTCCTTGTGGAGAGCAGCATCTGCTGAAGTCCGTATTTGTCCTGCCTCATTAATTGTAGCTATGTTGGAAAGATCTTCACTATACCTGAAGACTAGCTCGTCCTGTGCTTTACTGCTTTCTTCTCTATGGTTTATTATTTTGCATTTTATTTCCCTTAGAATTCGTACTTACTAGTATTTTATTCCTGTAAACACAAGCCATGCCTTTGTGATTGTTTCGCAATACATACACATACCAAAATTAAGTTCTATTTGATTAACTTACAAGTTGTTTGTATCTTTTGTATGTTTTGTATGTTTTATAATATAACACATACTAAACTGAACCATGGTGATTTCTTCCCCCATCATTTCATTATAAATCTTTTCAAACTTACGTGAAAGTTGAAAGAATACCCATGAGCTAACCAACTAGATTCTGTGACATTTTATGCTATATTTACTTACACTGTCACACCTCTTACCTGTGGAAAACCATCTATCCACTTGACCATCCTCTTTGATTTTTAATGCATCTCCAAATAATGTGCTTCATCCCTAAACATTTCAGCATATAACGGTATTTCTTTACATAAACTCTGCCGCTTTAGGACTACTATATTAAAGTGATTTTTTAAAAAAAATCCAGATGTGGATTTAAAGCTGGATGTGGCTTTACAAGTTACATGCTTGTGACTTCAGTAGTTGGGCAGCTGAGGCAGGAGGATCACCATGCATTCCAGGCCAGCCTGGAATTCCTACCAAGACCTGTCTCAGTGAATGAGTGAATGAGTGAATGTTGTTTTTAAAAAAATTATTTTATAGATTTTTTTTCTTCCTTTCAGGGTGGTATTCTGAGATCCTTAAAGAAATTAAGGCTAGTTTTTAAGTATTTGATAAGCAAAGGTATTTTACCATTGATTTCTTATGTAAATTAGGCTTGAAAATGAATTATGTGTTTTTAGGGATCTCTTAGATGCTCGAAACACAGAACAGTGCTTTATTCTTTCAAGTGTGCTGTCACTGTTCTCTGTGAGGATTCTCTTTTCAGTTCTTGCCCAACGCTTTCTTGTGTGCTGGGAACAAAACTAGTGCACAAAGGATGAAACTAAACTCCCCTCTCCTGTCCACAACAGTAGTTACCCGTGCTGCCTTCCAAAGGGCAGGAGGGCTTATTGCTTCACTTGTGTGTAACTTGCTGGAACTGGAAGTTTTTTACTTTTCAAACAAGGGCAACTGAAAAAGTGTTTGCCTAAAGGTGCTTAATTTTACTGCCATGTTCCAGTATTTATTAATGTTTCACAAATATTGCAAATCTTTGTGTTAGTATTATATTTAGTGAATGATCTGATTTTGTTTGGAAGTCTGTTTTTTATTTTTGATGTGATGTCTAGCTTTTGATGTTTTCGTAGGCGAGTTTTTATAGGAGTGATAAAAAATAAATTAGACCTTGATAGTACGTAGTTGTACTGAATTCTGAGTGCTTTGTATGCAGTAGGTCATAGTGCTGTCATTTCATCTGAAATTCACACTTTTTATAACACAGTAAGAAATCCTTGATCTTATCATAAGTATATTATGGAGCACGAGCAGCACAGTTTGTCTTGTTTTCGTCACAGTAGAAGGTACACTGATGGGCTTTATACTGTTCAAGTCATCTGTACTGTGTTGTTTGTTACAAGTAAGAATTGATCAACTTTAAGTCATTGTGTTTTTTGTTCTCAGAGAGCAAATCAGAAGGCCTCCAGTGGATAATAGATACAACCATAGCTTATCCCAAAGGTGAGCTGTTAGATATTCAAACCTGGATCCTTGGATACAGGAAACCAACAGTCACACATGTACATTACAGGTGAGAATTCTACCTTAAAACTTATATGTGCCCAGCAGCCTACCTTAGGACAGTGTGCATGTTTTAATGCTTAATTTTTAATCGGACAGTGAAAATGGTTTATATTTATAGCAAATAAAAATCATTCTTGTGCAGAATTTTTAGTATGAAAATATCATTTGCAGTAGTTACTGTCACTGAGAAAGATCTCTAAAAAATGACATTCTAGAGGCAGTATGATTATTCAATTGCCTAACTCCTTGAATAAAAGTAACTAAAAGGCAAAGATAAATATATACTCAGGGTAAGTAAATGTATATTAATAGAAAAGGAATTTGCTTTGTTAATTAGAAATCCATGAAAGAATTTCTGTGTGATTAGATTGATAGCTTAGAAATTTTTGGCATTTTAATATTCCTGTCTTGCATAAACAACAGCAAACACATTTATTGAACATCTGTTCTATACTAGGTACTTGAGATTTTCTAAATGTAGAATTTGGGGGAGGGGTTTCATGTAAATGTGTGGACATACTTCTTTCAAAGCATGGCACTGATTAGGCTTGTGTAGATTTGATCATATTGCAGGCCCTTTTGCTCTGTTCTGTTTGCTAGCGAAAGGTGGCAACTAACTTACAAATGTGAAGAATTGGTCCAATGTCTCATTTTTGTTTTTTAACCAGTAATTTATAAATAATCAGAAAAAAAAACGAATGTAACCATAAGAGATCTTAGAATTTGAAGAATTAGTGAGTTTTTGGCAAATTACTTTAACAGGAACAAAATAAGGCTCTTAAATTCACTTGAAGTAGAGGTTCTTAACTATGGGCTTCATGGGTGGGCCTCAAGAGATTTTTTATCCAAATCTATTTTGCAAAATTTTGTGTATGTTATGCTTTTTACGGAGAAGTTCATAGCTTTTACTCTCAAAATATCCATGACAAAAAAGATTAAGAACTCCTGACTTTAAAAAAAAAAATTCCTGACTTAGAGATCAGAAATTATAGATGAGAAATGGTTAGTTCGATTTTTTTTTTTTTTAAAGAAATGGTTAGTTTGGTTTAGAAAAATACTTCTATTCATTAAAATGAAGCTTTTCAGAAGTATATTTCTTTATAGAAACTTTATTACCAAACATAGAATAACAAAGAAAAGTTCATTAGGTTAAATGAGTGGAGATTAAATTATGATTTAGAATCATAATCCAAAATACTTATTAAGGCTGAGCGTGGTGGCACACGCCTGTAATGCTAGCACTCCGTAGACTGAGGCAAGAGGATTGCTGTGAGTTCAAGGTCAGCCTGGGCTATATAGCGAGACCCTGTTTCAAAAAATAAAAAGAAAACAAAATACTCATTAAAGTAAACGTTATGCCTGGTTACTTATAGGTACTCACATATATCCATCTGTAAGAGTCTTGGATATGGGAGGAGATACACTTTCCTTTTCTTCCATGAATTTACAGTAGAGATCATTGTCTGGCCAGTGTTAGGGAAGACAAAGGACCTGCTTTTGGGTAGGAAAAAGGGAGAACAAGAGTACAGAGGTGACCTGGTACGGAATTGGGAGGGAGCAGGGGCCGTGTGCTTAGCAGCACTTGGGGACAGGCTGTGTCAGCCATAGACTACCTCTCAGGCGCCTCTGCGGGATCAGGACACCAAGGTGGGTGGGGAAGGAATGCTTGCTCTAGTTCTGACTTTGTGTTTGATTGTGTTTTTAAAACTTAAACAAGGAGGTGTATGTATATGTGTGTGCAAATAATGTAAATAGCTAGGGTTAGATCCCTTTCACTCTTAATTTGAGGAGGTTGGCAAGAAACTGAATGGCATTGACTGCTTCAGGTGGGGAATGGATGCTCAGAAAGGTAGGAAAGATTGTCTGGAAAGTATAAAGTTCTTGGAAGGCAGTTGTTTTGCTTACTGTTGCTTTACTTATCTTCACCTGTAGGCAAATTTTCAAAACTATTTATGAATGAATTTTTTCTTGCAGTTAATTACTGTGTTATTCTTAAGAATCATAGCTAACTTGTTAAAAATAATACAGCCCTCATTCATAGAGAATTTAACTGAAGTGATTACTGCTGACTATGGTGTAGATAGACAAAGTAGTACTATTACTAATTTTCTCAGTCTAACCTTGAAGAATATGACATATGAGAGTCATGAAGTAATTATTCCAATCTGTTCAGCGTAAGATCCCACTTAGCATATGTCATGTATTTTAACTTCCCCATTAAAATATACAGTTAGTGGGATGTTATCAATAACTAAACTACATAAACCCTAGAACACTCCAGCTGTTTAAAAGGCAGTCACTCTAGATCAGATCAAGGCATCTTTGGAGGGTGTAATTAAGTCAAGCACAATTCAAAGAGAAACTCCAAATTAAAAGTACAAATAGGTTAGGAAGTCTAACAGTTCCTAAGGATTGAATTATAGTAGTAAGTTTCTGTGTGTTTGATGGCCTTGGGTCATATTTTAGATAAGTCTTATGGAGGCAATCACTTCAGTCCTGGTAGGACATCTTGGTTGTGCTGGAGGCCTCTGATGCACCTGGGGTGGCTGGTGTTCTGTTCCTTACCATCAGGGTTCGCCCAGGAAGCAGCACAGCTGGCATCATTTATTTCACATTCATGAGTGGCTGGAGCATTTTAAATTTCCATAATACCTTTCGTTTCTCTTCTTAGGAGTTATAATCAAAGTTACCAAATAAGTTCCACTGCCTGCTCCATATCTCATTGGAACAAACATAATGTGACAAGTTATGGAGGTCCCTGAGCAAAAATGACATTTTCGCAGGGGATGTAGCTCAGTGGCATAAGCGCTTGCCTGGCAAGCCTGAGGTCATGAGTTTGATTCCTGGCACCAAATAACAAAGACAAAAATGATGTTTTCTCTACAGAGCAACTGTCTTTGTTAACAAGTTCTTTTAAAAAGTTTGGTTTTTTAAGCAAGAAAAAATACTGTATCTAGATTACCAGCATGTGCAACAGAGTGGTTTTGCAAGTTCTAGATTCCTGTACTGGTGCTTAAGAAAAAGCACAATAATGGAGTCACTTCCTTCAGCGGCTTTGCAGTAACTGGTTTTCCTCCAGTAGCCGCCATTTACTGCATGAATTTACTTCTAGCTTCTTTGCCCAATGTTGACTTTTAGGATTTCTGGGAGAGATGAACCTTGAACATACATGTTGTATGTAAGATATAAGTATTAATATATCACATAGTTGAGAAAATAAACATTTGTGGCAGAATTGCAAACTAGATCTCTTACAAATAGTCGGTGGTGTTACCTTTTAAAATCTCTCAACTTTTGGGAGGTGTTTGGAGCTTAGTCTGCAGAAAACTTGGGGCAAATGGGGATTAAGCACCCAGGCCATTCGACTAATGAAACCTGGAGGTCCAGGGCCCTGTGGCACCTGTCTTGGACTTTGGTGGCCAGAGGTTGCCCCAGCTTCCATAAAGGCATTGTTGTGAGCACCAACTGGTATTCTAGGGACAAAAAGGTGTTTTAAACTACAGAACGCCTTACAGATGTGAAGTCTCCTTATAACGATATGTAAGTATCTAGCGATTATTGATAATCTAGTCTTTATAATTCAACATTCACTATATGTTGGATCTCAGCAACTTAGAACTTTCAAAGAAAAGATGTCTTATTTATTCTTTCCCAGTGTTACTTATATTTTATTAGTTGGCTTACATCTCCTTTTTTTTTTTTTTTTTAACTTTTTAAAGAATGAAGCTTTTTGGGGCCAGGAAAATAGCTCAGCGGCACATCACCTGCCTGGCAAGCACAAGGTCTGAGTTTGATTTCCAGTGTCAAAAAAAAAAAAGGAAAAAGCTTTTTTAAAAAAGAAAAACTAATTTTTAACTATGGGAAATAGTTGAGGATAAAATAATTTCTCCTCCTTCCCTCCATTTTTTTGCCAAACTAGAAGGCTACTGATTCCTACTAAGTAAGTAGTGGACACAATACTGTTAACTATTCAGTAGGAAAAATAAGCATGATTAGACTTTAATTATAGGGAAGTGTGTTTATGGGGATAATGTAATTGTCTGCTTCACTCTAGATTAGGACAGTGAGTTAGAGATGACAGTCCCCTTGTGCAGAAGTAGCATATGCTTTCATTTTTAAAATCTTAAAAAATGTAACCCAAATGTAGTGGCATAGATTATTAAAATCAGAGGTGTTGCTTTTGTGTTTAATCTGACTAGGGCATTGGATACTTTGGAGAGGCATTCAGTTAGGTACTTTGGGTAAGATTTTCAGTTTGGGGTGGATTCAGAAAAGGAATATTTAACTCATTTAAGACAAATATGCTCACTAGCAAGAGTATACAAATATTAACATAATTGCTTCAGGGAATTTTAGTTAACAAAAGAAATTATATGCCATTTCAAGCCAGTCAGATTTGTAAAAATTAGATGATGACTTTGACATACACATAGGAAAAGCACAGACTTTATTATGATTTAGCAGTTCCCTAACTTAATTTGAAGAACATTACTAAAATTACATCTGTAGTGAGACTGATTGTCAGAGGGGTGAGGGAAAAATTATGAGAAAAATTACCAATACTTAAAAGCAGTATAACATTTAGTAATTGTATTCCTAAATATATATATATGTGTGTGTGTTTATTTATGATTAATATGTAATTTTGGTTTTGCTTTTGCTTTTACCTTTGTTCCACAAAATAACACAATTTTAAGATCGCAGTAAAAGATGTAGTGGCTAAATTTTCAGAAATAGTTAATCTCTCCAAAACTTTTTTCGCAGAAACTTTCCTGTAAATAGAACCCTATATCCCCTTAACACCCTTTCAACAATTATCTACTTGTGGTCAATATTGCTTTTTTCTGTATTATTTCCCAGACCCTAATGGATTCTCTGGAAGCATTTTTCATTTCATTTATGAAAATTTCATGGTATATTCTCTAATATAAAAAAGCATAAAAAGACTTGGAAAGAAGTACTGTGTTTACAGAGGGAAAGACTCAAAATTATTAAGATAATAGTTCT